ATGGTGCTAGTATCTTAGTACAATTTCAAGAGAATAATGCTTAAATAAATAAATAATAAATATGCTTTTCACAGGGATTTTAGAAATGCTTACACAGAGATATAGTCAAAATGACAGGGGGTTTATGACAGAGAAACTAAATTTTACATAATATCATAGCATTGAAAAATGGATCAGTTAATGTAAAATACAATACAAGTACAACAAACAAATGTATAATAATCAAATTAAATGATAACAAACCAATAATAGAATATAAAAAAATAGTTGATTGTAGCTGGCTCGCAGGCCTGCTCCTACCTACTGCCTCTTCTCATGAAGAGAAGAGGAGGGGGGAGGGGCGAGAAAGCCAGCCGGGTTCGTGAAAATGAAATCAGACACTTGACTTATATACCCGTAGTGGTAGTATATAGAAAAGCGAATTCAATATCAAGTTGATGGATGTTGAGGTATTTAAGTATTACGTTAATCACGGAAGAAAATGAAAGTTTTATCTCAAAGGTAATTCAGTAATCACAGAGCACAATCGTAAGGTGTTTACCGTATGAACGCCGCTGACTCTCTCCACCGGCACCATCAATCATAACTTCTACTTACCAACTACGGCTTTATGGAAACAGTAAATCCGTGAGATAGAGTTCCGCAAGTACGTAAATTTCTCATTTATTAGACATTTTTTAAGGGGAGCAACAAAATATTTCAAATTACTTTTTAGATAATCATATCTGCATATCTTGATAAATTATCATCTATTAATTATTGATCAATTTTTGCTTCACATTCCATGACAATGCTGAAAGTCATAACAAGTGAGTTTATGTCTGCGAATACAAGACGTGTCCGTAAAATAAGTTCCTCAGGATGAGACAGGCGCGAGGTTGCAGACTAGGCCACAGAGGCAGGTCATTTGATTCCCCAACTCAAATCCCTTGCCAAGCCAGCGTACCTGTGACCGCTAGGAATAAACCAGAGAAGGAAATTCACGACGACATTTGTCAAGTGTATGAGCTCCGAAATGATGCGTAGATGGGTCTGGGACTTCAAAATCGGCCGAACTGACGTCCACGACGACAACCGTGCAAGGCGACCACCGGTTTTTGCAAAAGCAATTGCCAAGTCGAAGCGGTAATGCTTGAAGATCAGCGGATCACAGTTCGAGAGTTGTATAAAAAATATTCCTCAGCAAAACCACAATTAACAAAATTTTGACTGAACATTTAAACTATTCAAAGGAGTGCACAAGATGAGTACCAAAAATGCTCACAGCAGAGCAGCAGCGGCAGCGGGTTGAAGCGACCCAAGGATTTCTCGCTCCTCTGTAGCTGAAATACTGTTCAAGTCCTTTTCAGTGAATACGCTACTGAAAAAATGATTAAGTACGTTAGCCTTGCCCTCATCAGAGGATATCTTTCGTTGATCTACTTTCAAATCAGAAATACCGTCTTTCATCTTGCTTTTCGAGCTAGCGTACAATACGTCGAGCTAGTGGCTTTCGGATTCTTTTTTGCATTTTGAGCTATAATATTAATTTTCGAGGGTTTTTACTGCGGTACGACAGCTTTCTTTAGCTTGATTTCGAGCTCTTGCGTATAGGTTATAGTCAGTATCGCTACGACCCTGAGGATTAATATTCCTGTTCGCTTCCATCCACCAATATAACGATAACCAAGGTAAAATGCAAAGGATGCCAAATCTAAATGTATAGGCT